CATCTATTCAAAAGTTACGAGTATGTCTTAGAATTAGGTATGTCTTAAAAATGTTAACGAAACGGAACGAAATATGAACGAAATTTTCTGAGTGTAATTTTCACCTAATCTGATCCTCATTGGTCGGTATTTACAAAATAATAGCATGCCAAATACCTTTAGTATAGTTTGATTTTCTGTGCATTTTAAAGGGAGGTCTCTACTGTCACTGTTTTGTTCGACATTTTGGATTAAAATCTTGGGATTTGAGAAGGGTATCAAAATGGTTATCATATAATCTCCAGTACTTTGAGTTATAAGAGCTGAAACGAAGGAATATCAGAGACTTGTTATAGTCTCTGAGGAATATGCACTTCAGTTCAATTCGTCTTACATGAACATCAATGCTGTTAACCAAAAGCAATGCACTAACCAAACTTGGAATATAAGCTATGAACGGTTGCTGAATACGCTCCACTTAGATTCAATTACCTACCTACTTTCATAGTTTGAATTTCAATTAACGCTTCACGCTACTCCGTCCACCTCGGGGCGTAGATTTGTGTACATGAATACTTGGCTCTACTGCAGTATCTCTTCATGATGCGAGTTGTGTAAATTTTATGGTAGAAACATAATCAAAATACACGAGACGGACTTCCTCTTTCGAAATGCGATGAACTGACTAAATTTGCCTACATACGTCAGCATTTCCCTTCTGGGATATCGTCGTCGTTACCATTGAAGCTATACACAAAGACTTGTGCATTCGTCGGCACTAACATTATTTGATTTCAAACATTTTACCTTTCATCTAATGTGAATTACCAACTTTATAAATTATTCAACCGAAGTAGATAAAGTGTTAGATACTTGTTTGAATTTATAACTGTTCAAAGCATCACCAAGATACCCCTGATTTTAAACTCGCATTTGTTAAGATAAAGCGATAATTGTTTCAACATTGACGACTCGAGATTCAAAGATGAGAATCTGGCATTTAGGATTCAAATTTCCAACTTCTATCCAAAGAGACTATAACGGGAGCTCGTTAAGGGATTGTATTTGATTGTAATTGTACTCCATTTTCTTATTTTGTATGAAAATATGGCACTGACTTTGTAACTACGTTTGAAAGCTTGGGGCGCCATTGAGTCGTGAGGTATTGCGTCGTTGGTTCGGATTACAAGGAGATGCAGTCGTAGTTAGCGCGAGAAATGCTAACTCAACGGGAAATTACTCCACGTTGAGTTAAGTTGTTGCTGTCAAAGAATTTGATTGCACATAAAAATTAGTTTTTATTGGTGGAGAATGTTTGTGTCCCGGAATGGGTGTCACTCAAAAAGGATAAGTATTGGGAAGTCATGAGGTATTCCGCGATCAACTTTGAGCTAAGTGAAATCAGCCACCTGACTGCGCTAGAAAAGTTTGGTGGTAACCTTCATATTCAAGTGATAAACCTATTACGCTAAATCTGAACCATATTATAAACTATTACATTAATAATATAGACTGGTTCACTTTTCGAAGTTTTTCTGTGCTAGGAGCATTTCAGACAACATTTGGCCAACAAGGCTTTTTTTTACTAATTCGTACCTGCTGAACACGAATATCGATGTTGGCATATCGAAATCTGAACAAGGAGTTCAGAATTCAAGATGGCGGCCAATTTCCGAAAATGTTGATCTTTTCACCTTTGCGACCAATTTTTTCGATCTAAAAATGGATTATAATGTTATTCCTGACGGAGGTACGGCACGATAATAATAGTTAACAAATGTTTAAACAATGATTCCATAGTTTTTCCAACGTCAAAGTGCGTAAAAGTGGATAATTTTTTCATAGTACCTACTGTATGGCTACTGTTTAAATTTGTTCATATCGTGTAATTATTATATTATACGAACAATAATGTAAAGGTTTAACCCACAAACAATGAAACTGCGTCACTTTAAATAAAGTTTATTTGCGAGACTGGGAATATCATTGCGAAATACAAATAGCGGGAGCATTTAAACAGGCGAAATTAATCGTAATATTTCAAAGATAAATGGAATTATAAAAAGTTAATGCCAATGTCGCACTTCTGAGGCGGTTGATTGTGGGCAAATGATTTTTTTTATATTCTATGGACATTTACCGTCTAATTACATAATTTTGAATTGAACTTTAAGGAACCATTCATTTTACAAGACCGAGGAGTATTTTTCAGTCACCCATGTAATTGAAGCGTTAAAACGATGTAGCTTACTTTCGTCAAGCCAGAAGATGACGGAGTCGAAACTAGTCGCTCAGTCAAATTTCAACTTTGGTTTGGTGTTTTCATTAGTCAACTGGACTACGATTTAATTCACCTCATTTCGGGTAGAGTAACAAAATGGATATCTCCCTTTCAAGAAAATGGCCGTTTTTTAGTGATGGGGCACTTTAAGGGGTAAGTAAATAAACAGAATTGCACATTCACAGCTCCCTGACGTTTTAAAAATCGGGGACTGATCTTGAAGTTTGTGCTAATTAAGCGCGCTGCATTTGACACTAGACCCAATCTAATCAGACGAGGTTTGCTGCAACACATCTGATCAGCTACCGGTATTTATACTCACTCAAATGGCCGAGCTGAAATTTCCAAATTCGGTTGTTACATGGAATTTCGGATCAATCGCAAAAGGCGGAACAAACTGCACGGCCTTGCAGCTCAACATTGGGAAGCTAAAATCTGTTAGTCCCCTGTTTCCCCATGCGAGGACTGTCGGATGTTACAAAAATAATCCACATATCTCTATCGGAACAATTTGGAACTTTACAACTGTATGTTCGGCACCCGGTTTTCTTTATTGGTGGTCAAACGGCTCCACAAATCAAAACATTACTTTATCTTCTATTTCCCACTCCTAGAAGAAACAAATAAATCCGGAAGTCACGGTTTTCTAGTAACGAAGCGCCCAATTACTCGTCCATATATCGGGTGGTCACCAAAGTTGACTTCCTCCCTCAATGTTCGGTGCGTTCACCAACTCGCTACCACGAAGAGATTTTTGATGGGTGCCGTTCGATACGCCGCCGCAATTCCTATTGACATTTGGCGCTGTAGTCGTGTCTTGAGTGCTACTCCCCATACCTCACAGCTGTACAGCACCACGTTGTCGACTGCTGCTGAGAGCACCCTCCCTCTGCTTTCGCGCGGATCTCCGCAGTTCCAGAAGAGCCGCTTATTCTGTGCAGTCGTGCGGCTGGATTTTTCTATGGCTCTCTCAACATGCATGATGCACTTGAGATTTTTATGTATCCTCAACCCGAGGTATCGATGTGCCCTGTCCCGGCTACCTCCACCGCCACCTGGGGTAATCTCCTCCTCCCGGCTAACAGTGCCGCTTGGGTTTTTGCCTCCACTAATTTGGAGACCATGATCCTCCATCCAGTTTTGGATTTTGCCCGCCGCCTGATTTGTATCTTCCGCTGCCCAAGCGAGGCTTCTGTTGCAACTCACTATCGTCAAGTCCTCCGCGTATGCGCCACCAGGCAGTTAGACAACTATGAACAAATTTTATTATATTTTGAGGCACCCCCTCCCGATTGAGCGCCTGTAGTATGATTCGCGTGGGGATTGTGTTGAACGCATTACGGACGTATAGTGAGGACACCCCCGCCACCTCCCTAGCTCTCCACGTTCCCCCCATTGCCTTGTCAGCGATTGAATGTATCTTCTGGAGGGCGTCCTTGGTACCTTTCCCTTTCCGAAGGCCGTATTGCTTGCTCGATAGTACGAGGATTCCATTGAGTCTCCTGATTGAGATCCACTCGAGGAGCTTCCCTATATGACCTATAAGTGCTATTGGTCTCGTGGATCCCGGGTGATTCTTGGGTATTAAAACTACCGACGCTTTCTCCCGTGGTCATCACTAAGGTGAATGTTGGTCTCAGCATACCTGGCGCCTCGCGTGCGAGCAGCGCGACGAACTCCGGGAGGAAGTGGTCTGGTCCTGGCGCCTTCTTTCTGGACATTATCTTCGCCGCTTCTCTTATCTCCTCGTCGGGGACCACCTCAGCTGTCAACACAATCTCAATCAACAATCTCTTCCTCGGAACCGACGACTTTCTGCCTCCGCCCTAGTTTTCCGGATATAATTTTATATGCCTTGCCCCAAACGTCGTTGTCTAGGTCTGCGCAGAGCTTTTCAATATTTTTTTACTGCGTTCGATGGCGGTCTTAAATTCTTTCCTGCGGGCTCTGTACTATTGCTTGGTTCGCTGTCTGTCACCATCCGCCCTCCTGGCCGATCTGGCGACCTCTCTGATCTCTCCTTGCTTTGATGCATAGGCGTCTGGTCTCCGCTACTTCCCTGGTCCACCAGTACGTGCCCTTTCGTACATAGCCGGGCTTCAGGCATGACCTCCTCCGCCAGGCGGCGCATCACCCGATCCAGATCCTGCTGTGTCTGCGGCCTCTACGCCGTGGCCCTCAGGATGCTCCCCAGCTTCTCTTCGTCAATTTTGTCGGCCTTTCACCTGGTCCCGGTTTTTTCAGGTTTTTTACGGTATTCCGCGGTTCTCCAGCATCCAGGTTATATATGTGTGATCGCTGAGGGTCTCCTCCTCTTCGACTGTCCAGTCGCAAATGTCGCGAGCTATAGAGTTTCTGTCTCCCCTCTCGAATGTGTGGCGATTGCCCTCGTTCACAACGACGAGGTCCATCATTTCCACATCCGAGCCGCGCCTGTTCGTTGCAGGAGCTCCCCAAGAAGTGGATGCGGCATTTAGATCACCTGCCAGTATAACTCGGCCCCCGCTCACTCCTGTCATTTCTCGAGTCACCCCCTCTAGATCGCTCCTCAACTCTTCGAGAGAAAGAAAAGACACAAAGTATATCACTTAACTAGGTTGTTCTACAGTTTCGGTATTAGCGGGGCGCTACCTCCTACGTGTTGCTTAGGGACTAGCCTGCTGGCTCACCTGCCTTGTTGCGCCTGTCATAAGGGCACGACATCGTCCAAGGCTAGTGACCTTCTGCTTCGCACATACCTTCATTTTTTGTTATTCTGACACTTGTTCTTCAGATGTCCCGCTTCTTCACAGTTGAAGCAGCGTTTCTCTCTGGGCACATCTTCCCTGCACTTGTGGCCGTCTTCCTGTATTTCCCAGCACTTTCTGCATTTGATTATTTCCACCCTCTTACTCAATCTGCATGAGGCTACACCCACCCAGACCCGTTTCAACGTGTTTAGCTGGGCCGCTGCCGTTTTGTCTGCATATATGGTGGCTATTCTGATGTGCCCCTCCGCCACTTTCAAGGGTTCAAAGTCGACTTTGCCGGCTGCGCCCAGGACTCCAAGCACCGCCTCTTTCACTTCCTTGTCCTGCATTAGCTGGTCAATATCTCTTAAGGTGAAAGATCACCCTCTCTCCTCTTCTTCATTATCCTCGTCTCTCTCTGTAATGACGGCCTCCAGCCTGATTAACTTTCTGACGAACTCGGGGTACCTTCTGTTCTCTCTCTTCCTTCTCGGTACCCATGACCACATTCTCGCTGTCACTCTACCCCTCTCGGCATTCTCCTCCCTTGGCGGTATTCTCCACCACTCTCGTCCGCTGAGCGGGCTTCAACTATCAGAGCCTGTAACTCCACTCTTCTGATCTCGTCTGCCTTCATTTCTCTTTTGCACATTCCCTCTTCTCCTTTCCCTGTTTTCCTTCTGCGTCGGCGCTGCCTCCAACTGTGCCTTGCATTTCGATAAACTTCCTCACGTCTTCACTAGCGAGTTGCGACAATGCACTCCTTAATTTCATTGTTATCTCTTTAATGTCTTTGGCTGTGTTTTTACAGATCTTGCGGTCCAATTTCACCACTTTAACCTGCACCATATGGATCAACTGCAACACCTTTTCGTTGAGTGCCCTTGTATTTACGCCTTTAGGCGGGGGCAGACCCTCCGTCAGTAATAACCACTGCTTTTTTGGGGTTCCTATGCCATCCTTTCTCCTTTCTTCCTCCGGCCAATTGAGTTCCACCTGGCCAACATTACGCGGGGAGGTCGATTTCGCGCACTGGATTAGCCCACAACAATAGCTCCGCTTAAGGGGTGCGACAACCCCATCGAGTGGGGTGTCCCTGGACGCGGCTTCGCGAGACCGACCCAACGCCATCATAACGAACCCTCTACGATTTCCCGTTTGGGTTCTATGTCCCTATCTGTTGTTATCGCGCCGATCACGCGCTGTTTACTTAATACGAGAAAAATAGGGCGCGTTTCAAATGCAACCTCCCCCTCGAATGTGGTGTCAAACGATGCGTAATAAGGAGAACTACCCTATTGCCCAACCTATCGCCCTTCAAGTGGTTATCACACCAAAACTTATTCGGTTATCGCCGGCCTACCCCTGGAGCGATAAAGTTGACCCGGTGCGGGTTCGGCTCGTCTTGGCAAGGGCTTTATTATGCTACTATCTTCTACCTTGTAACTGTTTTCCTTCCGGCAGTCGGCGCCCACGTGCTCACAGCTCTCGTTTAATTTTGCCCTTAAACTTTAAAAAATCACAACTTGTTTTTGGTCCGATTTTAACGGGTTAACTTTTAAAATGCACCTCTCACTAGGTCGCTGCTTCCTGTACTGTAGGGGTCTATCAAACCGACACTGAAAACGTTGACACCCTATACTTACCGTTGGCAACTCTGACAAAAATCTACAAGCAGAGCCACCTACATTTCAAGTCGAAACGATGGACGTTTCGCGGCACCTTTGAATTTGGATGGCAGTCGGCTCGATACGGATGGCACGAATGAACTCCTACGTTATGCAATCGATTCTTATATGTGGTGGAACGTGAGACATAATCGGGAAGGGAATTGAATAAAAGACAGAAATTTAGTGCGTAATAAATGACAAGAACAAATAAATATATTACGCACTCAACAAGACTATGCCAGGGAAACCTTCTACGGGACAAAAACCCCGGCATAGGCCACACAAATACATGAAATAAATCACCTACAGCAATAAAATGCATGAAGAAAATACACATAAATAAAACATTGTATGATAAAAATCAGACAATCAAAACAAATGCAATTAAACAAGTTCATCAAATCAAAATAACACAAGACATCAGTGGAAAACATGATAAGTCAATTCAGTACAAAAACACATCAAAATACCTGTACGATCAATTGAGATAACACAATTCGTAAAATAATGAGGAAGGGGTTTAAAGAAAATCTTTTTAACACGTTTTTGTATTTGTCTGTTGCGGCTATCGATTTCGACCTAACTGGTCATCTTCAGCCCGAGTCGTACAATAATAAATTGGCATGTACATAGGAAACATCAAAATGGTGTGGCTCTACTCCAGCCTTCAGTTAACATAATTTTATTTAACATGCTCAAGCAAAACATATTTTAAATAGTGTAAATGTAGTAAATGTTAATGAGAGGGCCTCTACTCGCATTGCTAAGATACTAAGAACTGAAATCCGCACGAGACGAGTAGGCAACAGATACAGCGAACAATCAAACTGTATTAGGTACTTCCCTCACGGAATAGTTACGGATCAACCGAACATAGCAACATCGCACAGATAATCAACTCCTCGTGAATAACAGAAATAAATACTCGTACTTAACTAAACAAAACAATGGCATAATCACCCGTACAGTATAACAAACACGATTGATCTAACGGTACTCAAAAACAAAAGCATGGGGTACGTCATATTTATATCGCAGTTTATGCAAAATCAGCAAAATGTAAATACACCTTCAAAACACCCCCATCAAAATAATCAAGAATAAAAAAACCGGGAAAGCGTGATGCCCTCCGTCGACCTCGTCATTCTCCCCTAGCTTCCTTACAAAAATCCCCTAGTATTCGGCATCTGCGCAAAGCGGTCGATTGGTTATATACAGAGCATATCATATTTTTGTTTCAGATGTAAAGGTGTGTTGCCTAACCATAAGGGTGGATTATCACAGTACTTTCAAAAAGTTTTTAAAATCAAACACTCACAAAACACACTTTAAAGGCCGTAAGTAACCTTACCTAACCCTTAACCCTTAACCCAACTTAAACCTCACTTAACCTAAACCTAACCTAACGTAATCTAACCTAAACCTAATCTAATCTAACCTAACCTTAACCTAAACCTAACCTAAACCTATCCTAACCTTACTTAAATCTAACCTAACCTCCGAGGCCTTTCCGACGATACCTCTCACGCCTTCCTACGACTTTCCGTTACCGAAATTCGCATTTTAGCGACGACGAGCGCCGCGCCCCGTCGTCACTTTCAGTTGACTAATGTAAACAAACTAAACTACTAATCCTTAAAGAAAGAGTAGGGCATTAGTCTCAAAAAATCTTAATATAATAGTCGTCCATCATCTACTAGAGGCAGAAGCGCACACGACAGTCGAGGGCCATCAAACGCATTTCAAAATGGGTATTACAAGCTTGTTCTGGGAAAATAAGGATGTTAAGATAACAATTTATTCAATAACCTTTAGTTCATTCTTTACCATTCATTGCTTGTTAGTTCAAATATGGAAGCTTTACAGTTGAATGAAGTATTTGACCATCCAGCCCTCTCAAACTGGAGAGGATAACGATCTCTTCACGACGAGAGGAAATATTCTATTTATTTCGAGATTCTTTCTCAGTCTAACCGAGACCGATGTCAATCGAAATCTAAATGAAGTGTAAATAACACGCTCATGAATTCTGTTTATTTTTCGTTAATGAAGTTTTATAACGTCAGAATTTGTTGACGTTCGCTCTGCGGTTCTCGTTTACAGAGTTCTTTTAATAAATATAAAATTTAATTTGCAGCTCGCGGTGTCAGTTATGAGGGACAGAAGGGCTCATGAACTTTTTTTTCAATTTCATTGTTCCGAACGACTTCATCGACACATTCACGGGCAAAGTTATCTTGAAGTGCGCATTCACATTTACATGACGGTTAACATATTCAAATTTAAAAAGCAGCTCAAAAAAGATTTTTACCTGTTGTCGGAGAAAAGTTTGTATGCATTATTCAGGATCGTAAATTCATCCCGAACCGGTTTCTATGGAATAACTTTGTGCAGTGAAAACAACGTTTCTGTCCTACAAAGCTTTTTACATGACGTTTAAGTGAAATTATTTTTTTCTCCCAGAAACTTCTCGTAACCATTCGTCTTCTTTACACTCGTTTTGATATTAAACAACTCATCCATCATTTTTTTTATTTATTTATTCATGGTTTTAATTACGCGTGCAGTGGTTAGCGTAAAATAGAATGGTGCTTTTTGTAATTAAAAAAGAACAGCCACTGAGTTCATTAATTGTGGGATTAAGCTGTCAACAAGTATAAGCCTCGAGTGTCACATCCACTGTGTGCTGTGTAAAAATATAATTCACTTAGTAGACACATCGTTATTCCGTACGCCTTTAGCTGAAATGCTGATCCTGTCTAACTAAATTGCTATAATACCGCTCCCAATGGTTTTTTTTCATAGTAAAGATTGGGGGTAATATTGAAACGCTTTCACAAATGTTCGTTACCTTCGGAACCACTGTTACCGTTTTCGGAAGTATCAAAGCATTTATTCTTAAATGGTAGTATGCACAGACTTGCGCGGGCGCCATGATACGCCAGCCCGAAGGGACTTGGAAAGTGATTCGAATCCAGACAGCCAATCTCAGGCGCATGTGGAAGGGTAAAACCCAGCTTAATCTTACAAAGCCTGTTTGAGCATATACCCCTCACGCAGGCGGTCGATAAATAAAATAAGAAATCTTAAAATTACTTAGTTTTTTTAAACAATCTGGTCGTGAACGTTTTGCGTAATTCAGGCGCACTTATCAGACATCGCCGGCAGTTTCAAAAAACTTAACTAACTAAAAACTAGATGCCTCAAACTGGCTTGGCAAATAAGATGAGATACATTTTCGGTGGCTGCTCGAATGGTAGAAACTTTTAACTTTTAATAGCCGTTAGCCGGAAATGGAACCGACCGACATCATCGAGGTTTTGTTTGATTCGGATTCCTGGTGCTACAAGACGTGTATTTCCCTAAAAAAAGTGGGTGGCATTTTTTACCCCCAATTCAATAACTCCCTTACTAACGTGGGGGTAGTAAAAAGTGAACTGCGTCTTCAACAAAACAAATCGGGCCCACTGCCCGTAATTTAGCGTGAACAAATGAACACGCTTTTTACCATCGCAAAAACTAACAGCAGCAGTCGCATCGTTTTTACGTTGATTCCAATATTTAAACACCGCTTCCATCTCCTTCCGCAAGATTTTTCAAATCTACCGCCAATTACAATCAAACTTGATAATCTCCGAAGGAACGCATCTCCACTTTCCTCAGAACTAGATACACATCGT